ACACACACACACACACACACACACACACACACACACACACACACACACACACACACACACACACACGCATACAGACCCTTTTCAAAAAAATTAGAATATCTTGGAAAAGTTGTTCACCTTCCATAATTCCATTCAAAAAGTTGATCTTTAATAGAAGATAGATTCCGGGCCCACAATTTAAATTATTTCAAGTATTTATTTGTTTATTTTTACATAATTTGGGCTTCCAGCTCATGAAACCCACGAAAACAGGATTTCAAAACATTAGAATACTGTGAAGAAATCAGCCCAAATGTTGCAGGACATGAAAGTTTTAAACTGAGTGTGACACTGATCGTCTACTAAACTCAAAGCACCTGCACAGGTTTCCCCAGGTGCCATTAAATTGCTTCAGTTCGGTTCAATATGGGGACGACAGCAGACACAACAACTGTCCAGAAGACCATTACTGAACCCTCCATGGGATGGGTACGCCACAAAAGTTCATAGGTAAGGAGGCTGGCTGTTCACAGAGCGCTGTGTCCAAGCACATCATGAAGGGGGTCATGGATATAAAAGCTGTTTAATCGCTGCAGGAGAAGGAGCGGTCTGGATCGTGACAGGACTGAGGTCTGCGGCGCCGCCTCGTTGGACCGGAGGTGAAACAGAACCGGGAGGAGACGCACAAAACAAAGACCAGAACCAGTTTCTGCATCAGCCTGCTCGGCCAGCAGTCCAGCTAATAAAAACTAAAACCACTATTAATCCTACAAACACCATGAGGTGAAAAAGTGTTTTCACCACAACAGTTTCAGAGAAAACATGTCACAGGAGCCTAAAAATGGAAGATTTATGAAGTTAATTTAAGGTTTAAAACACTTAAATATCTGATTGTTTTGACTCATTTCAAATGAGCAGCAGGAAAAGAAACAGAAACTGACTTCATACTAAATACCTGAATGTTGCAGAAAAAACAACTCGAATCGAAAGGAAAACCAAACCAGTGATTGGTTCAGCTTCTCTGAAATGCACAGAGTTGCAGACGTTATGTTTTTTATGGCTGCAGAGACCAACTCACCCGTTTTGTTGTAAATATTTTAATACTACCGTTACTGTTTAAGACTGTGATGCTGTTTTATTTTTTTATTGTCCAGGACATCCTTGTAAAAGAGATTAATAACCTCAATGGATTTCTTCCTGATAAAATAAAGGTTTAATTAAAACAATCTTGAATAGGGGTAGAGTCCATCCAAAGATCACCTCCTAAACATTTAGTTTAAATCTGCCCAGTACCTCATGGGATATTTTACTAACACAGACAACTGAAACCTTTCCGTCCATGCTGCAGGTGATAAGGTGCTGAGATAAGCAGAATGTTTTTTTAAAGATTAAAAAATTAACCGGAGGAGAGATTTCTATAAAAACAGAGAAAATAAAAATCTGACGAGGAGCCAGGAAGACGTGGAACATCCGGTTTCTGTCGAGTCACGAGATTTACATTTGGGCTGCAGCTTCTTTAAAGCTCTGGTAACTGCCTGATAACAGTTGGAAACAACCCGCAGACGCCTTTAATGAGGCCGATTAGAAGAGCCGATGTTCGGCCACTAAACAAAACGGCGTCGGCTGACGCTCCTCAGCAGGAGGAACTGCTGCCCGCAGGTCAACGTGTTCGATTCCTGGAGTTCCACACGAGGATGTTATTAGACGACGCAGAGCGGCTCGGACTAAATTAAGGCGGCGTTCACTCAGCAGGAATTACACCGCAGCAGAGTTTAACGTTTGAAAATGTGCATCTTTATATAAACGTTCATACGTGTTGATAAAAGGAACATTCTGATACTTTCAAACATTTTGTTTTTAATCATAAATCCAATGTTTTGTTGTGAAAAGTCGAATCTTATTTAATAAATAAGATTTAAAGTGTAGAAAATTTAATTTAATGTTGTAGTTTGCAACAAATATATATAAAAAAAGAGATAAAAGAGCTTCAGTTGTTAAAATAAATCTGCTCCTGAAGTCAGGTTTTAATAAAACGTGTTTAAATATTTACAGATTATAATTCAGCTTCACTCTCAGATTAAAAGAGGAAATAAAGGCATCGTCATGAAAGAAGTCAGATTAACTTGATTCCAGAGTTCCTTTGTGTTTTCACATCTTTGTAAACCTTAAAGGACGAACAACTCCTGTAAATTTACACTAAAGACTGCCGCCATGAAAGGTGAGTGGTCATCTGTTAGCAAAATATCTCACAAATCACTTCAAAATGTTTCCTCCATTTTCTTTCTCCACGTGTTTAAAACTAAAAAGCACAAAAAGTAAATGTAAAAATAATTCTCTGCACCTGGAGACTCGTAGGGACCCTGGTGTCATTAAACCTGAAGACTTGTTAAATCTAAGAAACTGCAGCTTCAAACATCTTTCAGGACTTTTAAAAGGTTTAAACTGCTCACAATAAACTCCAGAAGTTTTCAACCTAAAATTAATCTCCAAATAAAAACGAACCCGCTGTAAAAAAAAGATTGTGCAGTTTTCATAAACAAATCAAGTCAGGAGGAACGTTGATGCTTAATTTAGACAAACGCAGCAGAAAAACAACAAGAACCCAGGAAAGAAGGATTTGGGGTTTTGTGGGTCCCACCTCTCCGTGTTCTCTGGTCCGGCCCTTCGGCGTGTCCTCCGGCAGGAAGTAGAGCCTGGCGCTGGCCAGCAGGTGGCGCCGTGCTTGATCCTCCCATAGTAAGGTCACCTGCAGGAGGAAACAGGTGAGAGCAGCTCCACAGATGAAGACTTAATCTGGATCTGAGGTCAAAGGTCAAACACCACGCTCAGGGTTTCTGGTTTTAAACCGTCCGGAGCGAGTTCTATGTGAGGAAACGGGCTGAGACTCTTGAGGCGACTGTTGGAGGTTAAACAGATCTTTACAATCTATTCAAATGTTATTTAAATATTAAAAGCTGCTCCAAGAGAAGCAGCGCGTCTGAACTTTCTCCTCGTGTCGCTGCAGCGCTTCACAGAAACATCCTGGGGGAAAGAAACGTCGTCGATGTGAAAATCTTCATAACCCTCCTCGTACCGATTCAGCTCGTCGTTTTCTGCTGCTGGCGTTTCTTTAACGGACCGGATCGTGGTCTTGAGGTGCATCGGACACGGGTCAGAGAGGCAGAACCTCCGAGCCCAAATGGGTCAAGAGTCGCCCGAGTGTTCATTTTATAATCGATGATCAGAAACAACAAAAACTAATTTCACTCCTTTAAATTTCACATTTTTCAACAGCAACAAGTTTATTTAAGACAAGCGGTGCACCGATGAGTCTTTGTCTGGACTGGAACTGAACAGGGAGCACAAGTAAACCTAAATGTTTTTAAAGCAACATAATCAGGTGGGAGGAGGTACATGGTAGAGAACAGAAGTTTATTTATTTATTTAATTTTGTGTCCAAGGCAACGCAGATCGACCGTCCTGGGGAGGGAGCCGTTTTATCCAACAACTGGAATGGTGGCACGGGGCGCCTAAATCTAAAAAAGAAAAAAGAAATTTAAATTTGTATGCCTCTTTTGTGACTGTGTATTGTTGTCGTTGTTACTCACTGTTGTCATCACTCTTTGTTAAAGAATTCAGGTCTCTCTTGTAAATGAGTCCCTGAGGCTCAGTGGGATTTTTTAATTCAACTTTATTTAGACTAGTTAATCCCACTGAGCCTCGAGGACTCGTTTACAAGAGAGACCTGATTTCTTAAAGAGTGATGACAACAATGGACAGTCATAAAAGAGGCATACAGATTTTATTTCTTAAATAAGATGCAAAAAAGTAGCAAAAACAGCTGGATTCTAAGGTGAATGTAGAAAACTAAAAACAGGAACATGTCTGCATTGGACCCTGCCAGGAGTCCAACAGATTCTTAAAGAGAGGTCAAGGTCGAGAGCTTCAGATGTTTTTACAAGATATTCCAGGAAACAGGAGCGGAGTAGGAGAAGGTCCTTTTGTCTAGTTCAGTCCTCACTGAAGGAACACTGCAGGTAATGATGTCCTGAGAGCGCACGCTGTAGCTGCACTCACACAGAGACATGTAGGAGGAGATGTATGAAGGCAGCAGACCAAGAAGTGATTTAAAGATGAAAATGTACCAGTGAGAGAGTCTGTGTGAAGTTAATGATGACCAGTTAACCAGTGAATACTGGGTGCAGTGGTGGGTACGATAATCACAGCCAGTTATGAATCTTAGTGCACCATGATAGACAGCATCCAACATCTGCAGCATCCAACATCTGCAGCATCCAACATCTGCAGGGTTCTTGTAGGAGCGTTCATGTAAATAATGTCACCGTAATCAATGGAGGGAAGGACAGTCACAGATACAAGGTGTTTCCTAACATTCAGGGTTAGACAGGATCTGCTTCTGAAAAAGAAACCCAGTTTAACTTTCAGTTTCTTTATCAAGTTTTCCACATGGAGCTTAAAAGAAAGATGTGAGTCGACCAAGATACCCAAATATTTATAGGAATCAACAAACTCAATGGGGACACCATTTGAGGATAAAAACAGAGGAAAAACTGCTGGGACCGACTTCCTGTTTGAAAAAAGCATCCCTTTGGTTTTATCGGCATTTAGGACAAGTTTGAGGCGGAACAAATCAGTCTGGATGATGTTAAAGGTGGATTGTAAAAGCTGGAAAGCCTTAGCAACTGTTTTAGCTCGACAATAAACAACTGTGTCATCAGCATAGAAATGTATGGATGCATCAGGGATGCTCTGACCTACATTACCTATTTAGATTGTAAAAACGGTGTGTCCTAAGACTGAGCCTTGTGGTGCACCATTTGACTGTTAAATAACTGGAGGAAGTACCATTATGTTGAACACATTGCCTCCGGTCTGAAAGATAGAGAACCAACCAATGGTGTGTTCTGAGAAACAGATTTCTGAGAGTTTATGACACAAGATGTTCTGATCCACAGAGTCAGAATCTTTAGACAGGTCTAAGAAAAGTGCAGCACAATAATCCTTAGCATCCAGTGCTTCAACAACATCATTAAGAACCTTCAGTGAAGCAGTGGTTGTGCTGTGTTGTTTCCTGAAACCAGATTGATGTGGAGGTAAGATGTTAAATGAGTCCAGGTCATTTTTGATTTGAGAGTTTATCAGTTTTTCTAGAACCTTGGCTAAAATGCAGAGTTTAGAGATTGGTCCATAGTTGTTCAGTGAGGTGGGGTCTCCTCCCTTCAGCAAAGGAAGAACAAAGGCTGTTTTCAAGTGTCTGGGATGGAGTTTTGGTTTATGGACTGGTTAAAGATGTGGGACACAGGGACTGCGATGATATGAGCGGCCAGCCTTAATTTTAACCAGGATTAGGATTAACCTGTCTAATTAAAGCTTAAATGAAAAATCATTTAAGGAAATTATATTTTAAATTAAAATAAAAACTATAAAGCTTCAAATGACCGGTGGCCATCTTGGATTTTGACGTGGCAACCCAATGTTCGATGGTGACCTTTCATACTCCTAGATGCTGCCACACACCAAAATGGAAGTCGGTACTTCACTTAGTTTTTATCGTGCTCACAAGACGGATGGAGGGACGGAGGGTGAAGTCCCCCGTTCGCTCTGTGGGACAATAAAGGCCCGGCATTTGTTGAAGGAATGCATATCTCCCGCTGCCTCTCAGAGCAGAGTTTGAACCTGGATTGCTTCACGGTGAGAAGGGATGGACTCAGCGGAGTGTAATGGTCGAGCTCTCAGCCGTCTCACCAACGTTTGGCTCATGAATCTCTGGCTTGAAGCGACTCCGTGTAAATAAAGTCCTCTCTGGGTCGAGGACACCTGCACAACTCTCACCTCAGCGATGCACACGGGATCCTCCGGCCCACATCGGATGAAGTAGAACTCCCCGAGCTTCCACACCTGGACCGGCCCGTCCGGCCGGGTTCTGCTGCTCACCGACTTGTAGAAGGCGTAGCTGCCTCGCTGGCAGGAGGGAGCACCGACCCACTGAGGAAGAGGAGCACAGGAATAGGTTCAAAGGTACGAAGATGTCTCGGGGAACCGGAGAGCAACGGGTCGTTTCTTTGATTCTGTGGCAACAAAAATGATTCTGTTGCTGAGACGAGCGAGTTTTCATGATATCATCAATTAGTGACTTAAAGTTTTAATGACCTGGAAGTACTCAAAATAGACAAGACATTTGTAGGACACTTACAACACAGCAGAAAGGAAAGACTTCAAATAATAATTTAAATTAAAAAAAGGGCAAAAAAGAAAAAACTGAAAGATTTTAAATGTTTGTTTTTTATTATAAATACGTTTATTTTCCCTCTTACTTTCAGCAGAATGTAACGATGGCTCTGGATCCACAGTTTGAAATAAATTTACATTTTATTTACAAATAAATAAATTCATAAATATTTTATGAATTATTTTTGAATTATTTCGGCCCATGGTCTTGGAATGATCTGCAGCTTAAGTCGAGTCTTTTATTCCTTTATCTGGTTTTAAAACAAAAACTGTCTTGAGGTTTCAGTCACATGGTTTTTAAACTTGCATTTTATTTTGTGTCTTATTATCAAATGTTTTGTTGTAAATATTTTAATGCTACTGTTATCAAGACTGTTGCTGTAGTTGTAATGGCTTGTTTGCACATTGCCCAAGACATCCTTGGAAAAGAGATTAATAATCTCAATGGATTTTATAATAAAGGAAATAAAAAAACAACAGATTTTACAAACTGCAGCTTTAAAGGCAGAGATTCAGGAGTTGGTTGGTGTAATCTGGAGCACTCGCTCTCACTCTATAGTTAAAGATTTCATTAATATTTGAATTTGATTACGAGTATTAATCTAAAACCCAGTCCTGCAGGATAAAACATGTTTAGATGATTATTATTATGTTTCAGAGGTTAGAAAAGGAGCGTGATGGAAGCAGCGACATTAAAACGTGAAGGCATTTGATCTTTTCTAACATGAATTTAATATTGCAGCCGCAATGAGGCTGAACGTTCTCGAATGGGCACAGTATTGTAATATATTACACAAGTCTCAGGGAAAATGTTAAAAATTAACTTCCATCCAGCTGAGAACAACAGAAGCAGCGTTTTATCAGGAGAAAGCCTCGACAGTGAACGGGAGGGCGTGTAGAAACCTGCAGGACTGAGCGTCCCGTGTGGGGTTTTCCAGACTCATTCTGAGGACTTGGGCTGAAGAAAAGGCAGCAGAGAAAGTTCATCCACACAGAAACTGTAAATAAAGTCCTTGTATTTTTCTGCCTTCAGCTCGCTGTGAAGGCCGCATCTTTTCAGGAACGCCACAAAATCCTGAGGAGGAGTTAATCATTCAGCGCCTCCAGCTTCGTGTCCATTTAAACATTTCTGACGACGACTTTAGATCAGAGAGCTGTTTCCTGTCAAACGCTCCTGCAGTTTCATTTTTACCTTCAGAAGGTTTAAAGGGACATTTCAGCCTTTTGAAGGAGGGTTCTGTTAAATGAGGATGTCCAGGAACGTCAGTTTGGACGAAGAGCTTAAACAGAGCATTTTGTTTGGTGCCACACAACCTACAAATCCTGATATTAGTAACGATTAAATCCCAATGAGTGATTTTAAACTATTCTTTGACTTGGAGTCTTTGGTTTCCCTCCATAAATAAAACATGACTTTTGTTTGCACATTAGTTAGGACCACCGGGCCTTCATCTTGTTTTTATTGTGAGCAAAATCTCTCTCGAGCCTCACGACGGGTCCTCGAGTTCACTCCAGGCTCGCGCTCAGGCTGCTGTTTAACACACCCTATTATATTACATCATTAGAGTTCAGTGTACGTCTTAGGTCTTTGTATACCGTTTCTTTTTATACGTTATAGTTTTGCTATTTTTGTGTGTAACTGGGACCGAGTACACAATTTTGTTCCACCTCATGTACCACGTGATGCAAATGACAATAAAGAACACTGAACCAAATAAGAGTTTCAGGAAGTGATCGCTGAACGCACCTACAGCCCAACTTCTGGGATCAATTCAAGATGGCTGCCACAGGCAAGCTATCGTAACAAACGGCATTTTTCTTCTTTCGGCTGCTCCTTCGTCAGGGGTCGCCACAGCGAACTAACTCGCACAAAGACTTGGCGACTGTTTTTAAGCTGGATGTCCTTCCTGAAGCCACCACAGCCAAAACCTAAACTCAACTTAAACCTTGTTGTTTTACTAAAAACTGGTCAATGTTCAAAGTATTTTCAGATGACTGGTTGAATTAAGAAGGATTCCAGTGGTCTGCTAGTGATCAGGCCGACAGCCAACACAAAAAGAGCTCCAACTCAGTTTTACAGATACTTTAAATATTTTGTTGTAGCAGCCGAGAGTCCTCCCCGTGACGCACCGACCTCTCCACGTCAGACTTATTCACATTTTTACAGAGGTCGTCTCGTTTTTTATGGACGGAGACGGAGACACGTCTGTGTTGTGCGCTGTGTCGGTGGAAGGGGGGCGGTGAAGGAAACGGCTCAGTGTGAACGACCTCCGTAGCTTTTTAGCTAGCGCGTCGGCACTGTGCGCCGCTAGCTTAGTGCTACGTCAGTGCCCGCAGTTGTCGACGGGGGAGAATTCGGTGAGTAGGCAGGGCGCTCGGTTCTGTTGACCGGGCGGGGCGCCCTCTTTGTACAATGGTTGGGAAAACACTCAGATCCAGGAGGAACAATGTGGCTTCCGTCCTGGCTGTGGAACACTGGACCAGCTCTTTACCCTCACTAGAGTCCTCGAGGGGTCATGGGAGTTTCTACATGTTTTGTGGACTTGGAGAAGGTGCTGGACCGTGTTCCTCGGGGACCTCATTTTTTTGTATTTCACCTCCAAACAAACGTTTTCTTGTAATTTTAGAAAGAGATTCTGATCAATAGTTCTGCCGACGTTTGAAGTTGTTCCTCTTTGGGTTCACCTTCTTATCGCTTGGGTTAGACGCAGCAGCCTGTGGAAAATTCCTCTGTCTTTAAAAATAAAGTTTTAATCAGAACGTACGAACACTGCTTTTATTTTGAAGTAACAAATGTTATCAAACAGATTGGAGTTACGTAAAACAAGCTGCTAGCAGCTCGACTGTGCAGAAAAATCTGACACATAAATGTTTGGGGCTAAATTGTTGTTACCCAAACTTAATCATCCGAGTCTTATGAATGTTAAAAACGTGTTATAAAACATTAAATCAGTAACTTAATGAGGGAACTTCAGGGAAAGATTCTTAAATCGAACCGTTTGTCGTTTCCTGATGGACAGAACATTTATTTATACACAAATTATTTTAAATTTAAAAGTTCAGCTCCAAAATGTGATAATTTCACTTATTTTATTCCCTTTATAAGTGTGAACATCTATCACTCGCTGCTGGTAAAGAAAAAAAAAAAAACGTTTTTGCCTGTGTCTGTTAGCAAAATATCTAATGAACCAGGGGAGGGATTCCTTTAAAAAAGTAATCACTGGAAGGAAATCTACAACTGATTAACTTTTGGAGTCTATACAGTTCAAGATGGCAGCCACAGCTAATCAATATTATCAAACAATAAAAGGGCTACAAGTCAGTGAATGTTCGATCGAGCTAAGATCGTGTGCGGTAGTAGCCGTCGTCCTCGACTTGTTCTTGACATTTAGCAGGAGATCGAGTGCGTTATTTTAAAGATTACACCAAAAAGGCTTTAATTTAGCCTTTTTTTAAATCAAGTATTAATTCACAGATTTTAGTCTAAAACTCAGACATAATTTTTTTTTAAAACAGCGGGTGACATGCATTCCTTCAAGAAATGCTTTGAATTTGAAGACTGAAGGATTCTGATGTTGTTTTAAACGTTAATAACGAGTGCGTTAACAGCGTTTAATGTTAATACGACGACGTCGCTGAAGGATTTGATTAGTAAATGTTGGTAGTTTTCCAGTTGAGTGTTTTTCTGGACTGGAACTGAACAAAGAATGAAGTAAACCTAAATGTTTCTGGTGCGAGATCAATGACGGCCTTGTTCGGACTCCATCATTTGATGAAACTCGACTTTAAGCAACATAAAAACTAGAAAGCAGTTTCCTGGAATGATGGTCAGTTTACATAAATATATGGAGGCGGCCATCTTGGATTTTAAAATAGCAACCCCCTTTTGAAAGGAACCTTTTTGATGCCTAGATGCAGCCACACACCAACATGGAAGTTGGTGTCTCACTTACGCTTCAGGTCATCGCACCGACGACGTTCGTGGACGAACAGATTTTCCAAATCCCCTTTTCGCTCCACGACGAGGAACGACTTAATATTTAATAAGTATCGAAGCTTTGTTTAATTCCTGTCAGGCAGAAACGGCTCTGACCCGTGACGAACAATAAATCAAACGCACCTGCAGCTTTGATTTCACTCTTTTCTATCAAAGTGTGTCAGCGAGAGGACAAACAGAAAGACGCCTGAGAAATGTCCAAACACCGGAGACGTGCACGTCTCAGGACCAAATCTGGACGATACAGATGTGAAACAACATTTTATTTTTGTTTTAGAAGTAGAAGCAGCCATTTTGGATCCACAGCTTCACTCAGCCGACTGCGGGTCAATTAGCAACAACTATTCAATTATGTTTATAAACTTTAAGCATTTTTATAAAAACTGCAAATTATTTAACTATTTAATATAAAAAACATTTATTCTTTGTAGAAAGATTTTTGCGATTTAGCAAATAATTTATTTGTTTGTTAAATGCAGCTGCGGTAAAGAACTGTGGGCCGTCATGCAACAGCCTGTATTTATCTTCATTTGGTTGTTAGCAAAATATCTCATGAATGAATCGGATGTTGAGTTTATTTTCCTGTTTAAAACTTTGGCATATATACATATATATATGTAGATATTAATCCATTCGTTCAGTTACATGTGAGCAGCTGAAAACAACATGCTGGTCGTTGTTTGATCGTGATGTTGCTGTGAAGTCGTCCAGAAGGAAAGCTCAGATTTACGTTTTCACACAGGTCTGAAGATTAAAACAA